AGAGATATAAAAGGGTATCAACTATATAAAGATGTGTAAAGAGAGTGAAAGTAAAATGTGTGAATGTAAAATACATGCAATAAGTAAAAAGATGAAATATGATGGAGAGAATGAATATGTATGTGAATGAGTGTGTGAATATGTACGTGTGTGTGAGTGAATGTGTGTGAAAAAATCAGAATAAAAATGAAAGCAACCCATGTGTAAAAGTCAAAACGCTGCAAATGTGTAGCCCAGCCCAGTGATGAGTGACAGTGACATAGAGTAAGCACAACCCTAGCATATATGTAAACAAAAAAAACAATGTAGACAATAAATAAAAAATAAAGTAAATCTGCAATGGTCCCCCAATTACCTGGAAGTCCCCATAAGTCAGCTATCACCTACGTGTATAAATCAATAAACATATCTAAATAGATCCCCTTAGTTATTATTGATACTTACTAAATGTCAATAAATATATTTCGGGATCTAACTACTAGATATACATAAAGTTATATATTGCAGCTATACAACATCTATGTAAATAAACATATCTAAATAGATCCCACTAATTATTACTAATCCTAAATGCTATATATATATATATATTTCCTGGCTAATCATGGCAGCATTTAACATATGGGTTTAGCTCCTCCCTCTAACCCTCAGGACAGGAAACACAATCAATTAAACAATTAAGCATACCTTCCCCTTGTATAATAGGAACCCCATCAGCCATCACACCTCAGTCTTTTTTTCCTGTCCTCATAGCCCTAGGACAGTTGTTATTTTATTTTTTCTCCCTGAATTTTAAAGGGTAAAGTTTTTTCTTTATGCTCACCTGATCATGCTGCTATGATCTTCACCCTGTGGAGGTCAGCCTCCCTCCACAGGAAGCCCAGGCACATGTAGCCCTTTCTCTCCTCGAGCAGGGAACCCCTGGGAACCATGGTGGGTAGTCCCCCTGGCATCTGGAGCCTGAGTTCACAGGATAAAGCCTCCAGATCTCGATCAGACGATCATCTATCCGGTAAGACGCCCGCGCATGCGCAATGGACACGACCGGATTTTCGGCATGTTTGCCCTCATCCAAAATGGCGGACCCGCGGACTTGCCGCCAATCGGCGCATGCGCGCCTCCTTAAAGGCACAGAGCGGGAAATTTGAAAATGGCGGTATTTCTTCAAAAAAGCTGGCGTTTTCAGTTCCCTCTGTTATTCAGTGCTCTCTGGTGCCATATTCTGTCTCTGCAGGTATGTTTTAAGTTATTCTTCTATAATATATGAGGATGTTCAGGTTTTTGCTGCATGAAGTTCATGGTGACACTTTTTTTTTTTTATGCAGCCCTTCTATAAAAATAAATAAAAAAATGGATCCTGCATCTTCATCAGCTAAATCAACAAGATCTACTATAGGTCATAGGTGAGCATTACAGTATATTCTATTTACTACATTAAAAAAGAGTGCATGGAGGGTACAGTCATATGACTTCTGTGTTTTACAGCCCTCAAGACCGGTCTGGCCCTAGATCTCCATCTAAGAGGAGGGATAAACCGGCGGCCTCCCCTGGATGTGGCGCAAGGCCTTTGGATAACTGCAGGTTATGCCGCAAATGTTTATCCATGATTGCAGGAGAGTCGGAACATCGCAGGTCTCCTCAAGCCTCTACGTCCTCATCTCAGGATATAGCTTATTGGATTAAGCAAGCAGTGGCGGAAGGGATTTCAGAATCCAATAGAGGCAAAAGACCCAGGCGTGAGAGCTTTGGCCAAGAATCCGACCTATCTGAAGATGACTTCAGACATCCTGCTGGTTCCTTGGATTTGGAGCTTATCTCTTCTAGTGAGGAAGAGTCCACGGAACAACCGTGTTCATTGGACACAAAGGCGATGGAGCATCTAATCAAGGCAGTGAGAAAGACTCTAGATTTGCCAGAAGAAGTCAGGGAAGTTTCTACTTCTGATAGACACTTCGGAGATCTCCATAAGAGGAAACCTTCCTTTCCAGTGCACAGATCCATTAAAGAACTGATTCGCTCAGAATGGAATGTTCCTGGTAAAAGGATTACAAGTCAGGGTAGATTATCAAAATTGTACCCGATTAAGGAGGAGGATTCAAGAATGTGGACAGCGGTCCCTAAAGTGGATGCTCCAATTATTAAGGTGGCAAAAAGATCAACTCTTCCGATTGATAGTAATGCTTCTCTCAAAGAACCCATGGATAAGAGAATTGACGCAGATCTTTCTAAGGTCTTCACTACAGCAGGCTTGGGTTGTCATCCAGCAGTCTCTATCTCTGCTTTGTCCAGAGCATTACGTTCATGGATTCTTGATTTGGAAGAGGATATTGAGAGAGGAGTGAGTAGACGTCGCATGACGGACTCCTTGAAGGAGATCAAACTGGCCAGTGATTGGCTGTTGGAATCCTCCACAGATCTTATCAGGATTTTTTCCAAGGTTATGGCTCATTCGGTTACTGCCAGAAGGGCTCTTTGGTTGAGATCCTGGGGAGCTGACCTATCTTCCAAGAATAATTTATGTACCTTGCCATTTCTGGGAGAGGTGCTTTTTGGCAGACCACTTGAGGAGGCGATTAAAAAAGCGGCTGAGGTCAAGCAAATCTTGCTTCCACAGGACAGGCGTCCAAA